TGTAGCAGTGACATATTCAAAACGGTCTTAAATTATCCATTTATTTTAATTCTATTCTATTGAATTTGTTATTCTTTTTAAATCCATAATAATGGTTAATATTAAATAAATATTAACATCATTACCAATAGTGTTTCTTATAATTTTTACTATTAGATCGGTAAATTTTTTTCTTTTCCTTTGTTTTTTTTTTGTTTTTTTTTTTTTTTTTTTTTTTGTTTTTTTTTGTTTTTTTTTTTGTTTTAATAATTCTTACTATGGGCAGAGAAAGTACAGTAGACTCTTTAAAGCATGAAGAAAACAAGATAGTGCAGTACCATTTTATCTTGAAAGTTAATTAGCTTCGTCTGGTTTGCAGGAAGTAATCGATAAATAAATCGATTTGGTAATAAATTCTCAAGCTTTCACATTGCTTTTTATATACAATATAAGGATTAGTAGATATTTGTCTTTTTTTTTTTTCATTTCAACAAATAGTATAATTTTTCCAGTGTTTTTTCATAGAATTTTTTTGTTTTTTTTTTTGTTCGTTTGTTTGTTATAAATAAGAAAGAAAAGATTAAAGAAATATGTTATCTTGCAAATTGTAATATTATATTATTAATTCTCTTAATATTAAGGTTATACTTTCATAATAGAACAGAATGTGTTATGTTGTTTTACAATTAATTGTATATTGCTCAGATTAAAAACATTTATAAAGTATATAAATCATACGATATTTCAGAGATACTAATATGACGAAAAATATAATGTTTTGATCACTTTCTCTTCGATTTGAAGCCATTTATGAAACGATAATTTGATATTAAAGACATTAAAGATATGTACGATATAAATATATATATATATGCTCACATTAACCAAAGCTAAGGAGCTTTAAAATATTTATACTAAATTGCAAATATCGTGTGTATGTGAAATATAATCGGTGAAAAATTATTGGTGGGACTGGCTTTTACCGATAAAACAGTGAGAACTAATCAATGCACTCGACGTAAATCGAGCGTGTAAGAGCTCCACTTCCGCCAAGGTTTTCGCTTTCCTCCTTCGAAACGAAGAACACAGGAAATGGCATAGACAATGAAAAAAAAAGCAACTGCCGATTATTAACCATCATTAGACGATTATCGACGTGACGCGATTGGTCGAAAACTAATACGCTCGTATGTTCCTGATTACACATCAAAGTGCATAACGTATAACCGGTATGATTGGTAACTTAATTCGTCCACTAAAGTAAATATCTCCCTTGTTTTCTCTTCCTTGTAAAAGAACTCGTCCCATATGAGGAAATAGACATTGATTCAGGCTTTTGATGAATCTGGTTATTCGTTGCATTTTTCCCTTCTCTATCTCTCTCTCTCTCTCTCTCTCTCTCTCTCTCTCTCTCTCTCTCTCTCTCTCTCTTTTCCTCTCACCCTCTGCCAATCGCTCAACAGAAAACTTTTTGCACATTAGATTCATTTGGAGGGAAAGACGAAGCTTCCTGCTTTATCGACTTTCGTGCTTTATATAATGGTATCGCGCTAAGTTTCAGTAATTTGACGTATGGGCGTGTTTAATGACGGATTGTAGTGAACGACGTTCGAATCGACTACGTAAAAGCCTGGACGATAATAATAACCAACATATGCTTGGATTATGTCAAAACTTTATTAACAATAGTGCCGTTATTTTCAATGCCTCGATAAATTATCTCAAATTGTTGGGTAGCCGTCTGTGAATATTCAAGTTAATTAATTCCAAGCCAATCGATTAATAAGGAACATTTGTGATTATTATATAAACAAGCTTGACTTATTAGTCTATATGGCGCGAGATTTTCAAGCCACTCTCATACAGGCGGTAAAATTACATTAATCCGCGCGGTAAAGCGACAGTTGCTTATTAAAAATATACATACTATAATTGAGGATCTAGTCGCACGGGTATTATGCAAGGTCTCAAGAAATTTAAATAATAGTCATAGCGCGTCCAATCGTTTCGAATCCTCAGTTAGTGAGTGCGAGCGTGTGTGCGAGTGAGAGAGAGCGAGAGAGAGAGAGAGAGAGAGAGAGAGAGAGAGATATGGAGGGAGGGGAGAGGGGGTGGGACTAGAGTCGATTGGAGGTAATCGGGTGGGGCAGGGGTAGGAGGATACGGGGAGTTGGTAAGCGCGGTTTCCGCCGCTGAAATGAAAAAGCGCGAGACAGAGACGCTAAGGCCGTATCTCAATTCCCGAGTGCAAGCGCCCACCCCAACGCCAGCAGTCGCCGAGGGAGTGGGTCGTTAAACGCATCGAGGGGAAGAGCCTCACGAGGGGTGGCAGTACCGGCAATGACGTCATACATGCGCGCGCATGCGCATCGGGTGCCACCGGTGGCGGGCTATCGAGGCGATGGCGAGGAAGGGAGGGCGTATGTGCACGGCCGGGGTGAACGACCGACCTAGACTCGATGCGAGCGAGTCAGGGGTGTGCATTTGCAGCTTCGTCGGTCGAGGGGTCGGGGAGAGGTTGGGTGGGTCGGTGGGATGGGGGATGCGAGACGAGTCGACGGTCGCCCTCCTTAAAAGCTACCCACAACGGTAGGCTCAACCCCCGTTACACCATCGTGTGCGTGACGCGTATCACCCAGCGTGCGCCTGCGTGTTTATTATGGGGTTTAGTTGTAAATAAGCGAGGCCTGCTTAATTAAGGGACTCGTTGTTAAGTTCGTTGATGATCGAAGCGAACGGGCCTCGAGTGCGAAGGAAGGCATCGACGTTGCGGGGCAGGCTGTATCGGCAGCGTAGGTCGACCGATGGGGTTTTACTGGGGTTTTGCTGGGGTTTTGCTGGGGTTTTGCTGGGGTTTTGCTGGGGATTTGCTGGGGATTTGCCCTAAAAGACACACAACTTGAAGTTACGGGCTAATTGATGAATAACAATTACATGAGCTGCGCATATCTCGTGAATTTTCGTATAGATTTCGCGCATTATGATTAGAAGAATTGTGGTAGAACGATAATCGATGCGTTTTGAGCGACGGAAATTAGTAGAGAATGAGAATAAGAAATTTTAACGCGATCTCGTATCGAAGAGACTAACCTCAATTCGCAATAATACAATGAACTCGGTATTCCCGAGTGGGAAGGCACAACACATGGGGAGACACGGAAAGGTAGTAAATAAAGTATGTGTGAAGAGTAAGCGACGTAATTTCGTCAGAGGCAAGACTCGCACCCTTAAGGATACGTCACCTCATTCTCAATCCTCCGCGAGAATATCTAAAAATATATCGTAAAGTAAAAGAAAAAGAGCAGGAAAAACAACGGGAGAGGGTAAAAGAGGTCGAGGGAGAGAGAGAGAGAGAGAGACAGAGAGAGAGAGAGAGAGAGAGAGCTGTTAAAGCTCGTCCATAAACATAAATACATCCCCGTACGCACGAGGGGCTCGACGCATCACTTAAGTGTACATGCGAGGCTCGGGCATCTCTCCCTTCTCGGCCTTACCCGCGTACTTGTAGCGACGCGTACCACGTGGTCGGTATTGATCCTCTACGATGCCGTACGACAAAGAGAGCACGAGCGAGAAAGAGAATGAAGCCTTCGCCCACGGCAGTGGAGGGTCGTGTTGTGCATCACGTTCTCTCTCTCTCTCTCTCTCTCTCATGCTCACAGTCGTCGCTGCAGGGGCAGAGGGTAGCAGCCTAGTGCCCCTGCCGCAGCGGTCGTTCACCCCAAGTAGGGGAACGCGGGGAGAGCCCCTGCGTGTGGGGGACGCGGCTCGTTCGATTCTCGGTTCCCCTCGGCTGAGTCTCTCGGTGGCTCTCGGCCGATCTCGGGACTGTACTTGACCCCGAGGATCCTCGCGCCCCTCGTGTGCCTGAGACCGCAATCCTGCGAGCCGAATTATCGCGATTAGAAAGAGGAGGGAGAGAGAGAGAGAGAGAGAGAGAGAGAGAGAGAGAGAGAGAGAGAGAGAGAGAGAGAGAGAGAGAGTAAGAGACTCTCCTCAACGCCACTGGCATTTTGGTATTCTGCCCCTTTCGTTTCTTCGATTCTCTCTCTCCCTTTCTCTCTCGCCTAGATTATGATTCCCGGATGAGATCTCAGTCCTTTGTCAATGCTTTTTCCGGTCTCTGCCGATGAGTGACTCGAAGAAGGGATGTATGATTCATCGGCTGCTAGGGGAGCAAGACTTCCGAGAATAACTTTTATTTGTGGGCGTCAGTTTGGAAATATCATTTCCCTGGAGCTACTACGACTGTGTGTCGTTGGAGCCGAGAAATGGTCCAGGAATAAGCCCAGCGACACTGAATTTAGCGCAACGATATCCGTCGGGCAGTGTGAATTTTCTTTGATTTGTTAATTCTTTTGAAGGAAAAGCGGCTTCGTTTAGGAGATGCATTTATGGAGATAACCTTATTTGGTCTTGCGCTCGATACTTTTTCACGAATGGGTCGTTCAAAGGGAGCTAATGTTCGTTTTCATTTTCTAGTCGAGGACATTAATCTACGCGTATATGCTTATTTAGAAATTTATAACGAAGGTTCTTTCTTTCTTTCTTTCTTTTTTTTTCTGAGGAGGGGCGAGGGAAGCTTTAATGGAAATAGCATCGATTCCGTGTATTTGTAATTGGTATGGAGATCCTATGGAGTTAATAGTTTTAGCTATTCGTTGAGTAATAAAATAGAATAATTTAGGACAACGTGAATTATTAAAACTCTCCGGCGAATAACGAATGTTAAAAACGACTATTAGACATTACATTAAACATTTCATATTTTTCCGTGGTAATCACGTGCCTTAATCACGATTATATTTTCTTTATTCGTAATTCGGAGTCTCACCTGCGCCAAAGATCAACGACGAATGAAACATAATTCCAACTCACATATAATGCGAAACTATTTCATAATCGGTCGGAGGAGTGGGGGGGGGGTGTAAAAATTTAATTTATCGAAATTAATTTCACATTTGTACGAATATATTACTCACGATAATCGACATGGCAAATAATCAAATCAGAGTACATACTATTCTCATCTACGTCCTTGTGACAGCTTACCTGAAAATAAAATAGAGTCTTCTTAAATCGGATAATCAATTCCAATGCTCGAAATACATTGTATTTCGTTAAGTGTAAGGCTAATAAATAATTAATTAATATGTAGCATGCACATCCAAATATATAATGTAAATCGTAATGACGAACTTTCTTGTCATCGACTATTCATGAATATTCATATTTTTCTTAAACAATTATTCACTCTTTCGATTGATTTTCATAATACAGAGAGTCATTTATTTACTTTGCAGCTAGAAACGAATAAACAACACAATAAGTAATGTTTAAAATTATTAATATTCTCAGTATACGGACAACCAGTAATTATTTGTGTATATATTTCCTAAACATTATAGTCCTCTGGATACGAAAAAAAGTACTTAATTACTTAAAGAACCTTAATTATCGTTGAAAAATATTTGCTTTTTTAAGCAAAGTATATAATCAAATCGAAGATTCATGAAAATGAAAACGTCAATATAATGTATTTCATAAAACGCGACACGTAAACACGTTTTTAAATATATATATATATATATATATATATATATATAATTGTTATATCATCGAATATAATAAATATACATCTTTTATTTCTATAAATTTTCTTTATAATCGTTGTTGCAATCTAAAAATATACAAATAATAAAGATTTTAATATTTTATATTTAGCCTCTTATCCGTTTAATATGCGAGTTTATGAGGTATTCTAATTCATTTGCAATTACCGAAATATATTGCAAATCGAAGAGCATATATTATATTTATAATTAATAATTGAAAAGTTTCCTTAATATTACTAATATTATAAACAGGATACTTTCAATGTTAATTGCATGAGAAAGAATATTCGCATTCGTTACATCGATAACTCCATACTAGATGCAACGGCAACTCTTTCGAATCTTTTCTCTTATTTTTCTAATCTTTTCATTCGTACTTTTAATAGATTTTAATAATTTTAAGCCTACAGCTTATAAGACAATATGTTGTGTTTTGATATTTTAATCCTATACAAGATTATTACTATCTAACAAAAAGTTGATCTATTAGATCTATTAGATACGTATAAAATAAATATATGTAAAAACGGCAATTCGCATTGTACATAATAGTTTCAACAAATTCGTATTTTTTATTATTATACGATGTATGTGGTAATAAATCAACTATCTATTTGTATTTATATTATAAGTACGCTAATGATTCAAGTATACTTGAAATTTCATAAACATTATAGAATATTTTATATTGTATTCTCAATTAGAAATATGATTGAAAATGAAATAAATGTAATGCATAAGATATAGTCTGCAATTATGGTTTTAACGAAACGTTAGCGCAAGTAATATCTGATATAATTTAGAAATCATATTAAAATGGACGCTCAGATTCTGAGAAATCTTTGCTATAAAATGCTTCTAGTAATTAATTCGGGTAATTGCTCGGGCTAATAAAAATACGTAAAATTCCTACATTATAGTCTCGTCTCGATCATCATTAAAAGTCAGTTTATATTGAAGAAAACGGATAATCATGCGATGAAAAATATTATCAATTACGAAACAATGAATATTTAAATTTACAAAACTTTCACGCGCGAATGAGCACCTTCTAATGTCCAATTTAGAGGTGTATTGGTGAGCAAGGCAATTCTAACGAACACACGTTTGCGATGGTTTGCACTTGCAGTGTAAGATTACAAACGAGCGTAATGACGAATAAAGAAAAGAGAAGTGAATGGCGCGTATGCAATTAACCTTCGTTTATTTCCTTGACCTCTGATAAGCTAATTTTTATATTGTTAACAATTTGAAATGGCTGTGAGCATGTGACACATTTTGAGAATTGCAGAGGGAAGCTTTCAGTATTCAGCAAACTTTTCAAAGATTTTTCAAACATTTTACTATGCAAATTAGGCTTTCCTCGTTTTAACGAAAAGTGAAATTCTTAATATAATGCCAATAATTCTTTGTGTTATATCATAATTTAACCGTGGTTAAGTTACACGATATATTCAGTTACGTACAACGTTACGTATATAATATGAAATATAAAAATATCAAAAAATAATATATATATATATATATATATATATATATCAATGTGAAACTTCATTTACCGATCAGTGATACGTTAATCGGATGCATATATGGTGAACGGTCACATTTTCATAACGTACTATTCAATTCTAAACGAGTGCAGTTAAATTTATAACACTTTATACAATGATGGACTCGATAATCTAAATAATCTATTGTGCAGAGAATTTATATCTTTGAAATTGGCAAAATTGTTAATTAATATAAAATATGTTGATGCGGCTAAAATAACATAATTATTTTACAATTACTTCGATTTAATTGTTAATATTCTGTGCGCACAAAGTATTATATTAATAAAATTTGAAATATTTTACCAGTCAATAACATATTGAGGATAAGCTACAGTTTTAACTTGATGGAATATTTTGGCAAAAAATATCCACTTAACCATACGATACGAGTGTCATTACGATATCCTTAGCAATCTAATGGGATGCACGTAGTTGTGAGAAAGAAACAAGAAACCAAAAACAAAAAAATAATAACAAAAAAAAAAAGAAAAAAAAAAAGAATCTAATCAACCAAAAGCCAAGCAATTCAAGTATACCGATGGGTCGGTCTCCGCTTGCAATTGCAACGCTCCATCTATTTATAAAAGCAAATGCCCCGATAATATTGCATTCTTTGCCGCAGCTCCTCCCTTCCTGCGCGCAAATCGAATTTCCGGGCGTTCGGTCCGGCATCCATTCTTCACTGACGAGCGAAAGGGGCTTTCCTTCTTTCGCGTTCACGCGAGGCTCGCCCGCCGACTAAGGAAAAGCGCGAAAAAGCCGGGTGGAAGGGGGGGGGGGTCAAAGTGCCGGGACGACCCCTCGAAAACAATGACGCCGAGCGGGAAAACCTACGACCGTAGCAAGTAAACATACTGGGCTTTGTGTATTGGGAGGTGGGAAAAGTGCGAGGGGGAGGTTGAGTGATGGGTCGCTCGCTGCACATGGGAGAGCTTTCCCCGACTCAGCCAGCATTTATTGACTTTCTGAAAAACTTTTCCATCCCATTTTTTCTACACTGTATCATCGAGCATTGGATATTTATTTATTTCGATATTTCCTTCTCCATGATTATCGGATAACTTTTCGCTTGAGGCGTCGTTGCGCCCAATGTGCGCCTTCTCGCTGCTTCGTAATAAAATGTTTTAAGCCACTTGCTTACGTGGTATATATGTGGCATATATATGGCCATAAGTGCGCATGAATATGCAAAATAATAAGTATCGATTATTATACGAGGCTGTATATTATACGAAAGTAAGATGTAGAAAGCAATAGTTCGTCATAAATGACTGTACAAAGCTGGAGCTGCCGTACTTTTATTTAGCCAGCCAGACCCCATAGCTTTCAGCGCTTTATTATTAAAATATTTACTTTTATCGTGGAGTATAATGTGTAAATGTTAACAACAACAACAACAACAACAACAACAACAACAACAACAACGACAACAACAACAACGACAGCAAAATATGCAATAATAATTTATTGCATAAGAATAAAGACAATGCTCGATATAACAAATCAATATGACGGATTCCAAGACAAAATAATAGATTATCTTGTAATAACGTTGCAATATTTTAGTTTTATCATCATTGATTGTATAAGCGACTTTCAGAGAAATGTTATTATATAATCGAAAATAAATTCATAAACGAGCCTCGCTTCAATATTATACAAATACGATACAAATAATTCGAATGTCGTTATATACACAGTTCTGCTCTTTCTTCGAGTTCCCATCCATTATATCCACGGTATTTACTTCGTAAAAGTAGCACAAAATACATACACACGCTTGTGCAGTATTTTTTTTTTTCTTAATCGAATTTTGCATCCCTTTCGATTAAAAAATTAATCAACCATCGGCCATCTTCTTCTCAAGATCAATATCATAAAATATATGTAAAATTAGTGGATTGAGTGTTAATAAAAAAAAAAAAATAAATAAAAAAACAAAAAAAAAAAAAATATATATATATATACATTAGTGCCTACTTTCTTCAATACTTGAATTAATGGCAGACAATTTTTAGCACACAGCCGTGATAAATAATGTACAACAATGAAATATGTTAAAAATAGTTATGCTCGTATGGTGCGTACGTACCTCGGATTGTATTTCAAAATTAAAAATAAAACGTAACGAAACTACGCTCAACACTTGTCACATCGAGGCGTCAACAAAAATAAAACAAGCCCACAGGATAAACAAACTACAGCGCGATATTATTGGCCGGGAAAGCAGCGATTTCGTTACGTAAAATGCCGAGAGCACGTCCCGTCGTTCGGCCGTACGCGAACGCACTATCCGAAGTCTCCCGGAAAAGTCCCGAAAAGCGTCACCGGCGTGTGGGTCAATTAGACCACGCCTAGAGGATGAAATTCGAAAGCCGGGAAGGCGAGCGTCCCAAGAAGCGCAGAGTGCATTCACCCCGCGGGCGTCAGAGGGGGATGCGTCTTTCTTCCTTTATTTCCTCCCCTCTGCCCCTACGGGCAACGCCGCAACGGTGCCTAAGAGCGTCTGCGCGCCGGCACCTGCGCGATTTTTCTCCACGTGCTGCACACGTGGTCCCGGCGCAGGGAAAGCCTTCTTTCAAAATACAATGCAATTCGAGACGATGGGAGATGAGAGAAAAACCAAAAACAAAAAACTAAAGGAAAAAAGGAAAGAAGAACATACGGGAAGGCCGCGTGTTTTTCATTCTGTTTGCGGATTTTCGATGGAATTAGAATGAAGTGCGCACGCAGCCCCCAGAGATTATAGTGCACTTAGTGCTATTGGACCAAGGCGGTTCTTGGTCTTGTAGTGCCCATAATTTGAACGGTGGGGGTCAATTAATTCTAATTGCATACGATAAGCTTATTCTTATCTTAGGAATTTCAGAAATTTCATGGTTAC